AATCACTCTATCTATTAAAAAAAACCGCATCAAAATCCGTTGCGTAGTTTTAAAGATCTAAGCATACATACGGACATACAGCGAAAGCGACTTTGTTTTATACTATGTATTGATTAAACATAGTAAACACAATGGTCTCATTGACTTGACATGATTTACTTCAATAACATTAGTATTGTAATGCGCGAACTTTGTTATACACATGATGAGTGAGGCTATTTTTCATGTGCAAATGCCAACTGTCCATGATTTTACCTATTTGCAGTTACAATTGTTATTGTAAAATCATAATCTTTGTATTATAAACTGTTAAAAAATCTTAGTATTCTGAATCATTATGACTGTCTAATAGAGCAGAAAATATTAGCAGTAGTCAGCCATGTCAAGTAATTGTATAAGAGACAATAATTTAATCATGAAACGAATTATTTATTTATTTAATTTTGTTTTTAGACGTAAAATCACTCTGGCGTCCTGAATATGGGTCATACATGATTGAGGGTACCCCTGGCCGTCCGTACGGGGGTCTACTAGCACATTTCAATATTGTAGAAGCAAACATGCAGTACCGTAGAGCCGAAGTATCACACTTACTACCCCCGGGAGAAGTTATCATGAGCATAACTAATTTCCCAAGGTAAAGTAATACATAAATTACCTACAGACCTACACTAATCTAAAGATCTATCAATACTTTTCTTGTATGTGGTCGTCGTTGCTATCTGTGAGTATCTGTGCCTAGCTCCCCATTTATAGTAATTAACTCCAATGATTGATTCATCTGCTAAGATCGCGATACTCATCAAAGCCGTTTATTGTGCAGCGTTTGGATGCTCCAAATAAATGTTGATTACATAATAAACGTGTTACTGTTGAGTCGAGACATGCTGCCGAATCTATATTTGATGGTGTAAGATATCTCGATTCATGTTTTTGCTGGATTGTTTGCCTACAGATTAGGATGTCCTAACTTCACAAGTCCGCCCTACCCACCGACTCCCCACGAAGGTGTCTCTAGGTCATTGTTCTTCCCTGACGAGGGCATATTCCCTGGACACCCTCGCTTCAAAACATTGACCACCAATATTCGACAACGACGTGGAGAAAAAGTAGCTATCAATTTACCAGGTAAGTCGCAATTTACCTAAAACATTTTGATCTGAGAAAAACCATTTGTTTATATTATAATCTTCCTTTCCATGATTACGCATAACTTAACACAATATTTAAACAATAGCTGTCAGTATATTGTATGGCGCTTATTCATGAATTGAGTGTGTATTATTTAGTGAATGGGTTATTACGAGCATTAGTAACTTATTGTTTGCAATCACGGTCTTCATATTTCCTTATACAGTATTTTACCTTAGCGTTTTTACCCATACGCAAGAAGGTACTACATTAATATCCTTGTTTCTTTTTCCTAGTGTTCAAAGATGTAAACACAAAGATTCCAGTGGATAATTCTCACTTATTGGAGCCGGAGGCAGCTAAGCCTGACTGCGTGTACTTGGACGCTATGGGATTCGGTATGGGATGTTGTTGCCTGCAGCTCACGTTTCAAGCCTGTTGCATCACTGAAGCGCGCACATTGTATGACCAGCTAGCGCCGCTCTGCCCTATAATGGTTTGTTAAGCATATTTCAAAAAACAAGAAATAAAACTGACTGGTATGATTTAGAAAGTTCTTAACAACTACCATATATTATGTGTACGAGATTAGTTGAAAAATAAATTCTACTTTTCACTTTTATTTTTTACGAATACGACTTTATGTATCGGTTAAATTTTTAAGCAGTTTTTATTACATATCAATTCTTTATTTAGGTATAATGTATGTATTTTTTGCGACATCCATATCCGAATCGGTTTTTAAGGAAAACTAATGAAGTAAAAAATATCAATCTGTCATCTTAGTTACACGTAGAAAAATTCAACGTTCATCGGTCCATAGCGACTTGTGCTATTATTCATCCATTTAACCAACGAGATCGATGACTGTGATGCCTGTTGCTATATTATAGTACCAATAAAACTGACTGATAGATATGCAGATAAATTCTGCAAATTAGTGGTATTTATTTATAACACTTATTTTTCATATATTTTATTAATTTTCAACAACAATTACATTAAAAACAAAGGAGTTATTGCTCGTGCTACTAAGGAATAAAGATTTTATGCATTTATAAAGTTAAATAAGTTATAAAGTTGAGTGTATTTTATTTGTAGTTGGCACTATCAGCAGCGTCGCCAATCTTCCGTGGGTTCCTGACCGACGTGGACTGTCGCTGGAATGTGATCGCGGGTTCCGTGGACTGCAGAACGCGCGAGGAACGCGGCCTCGAGCCTCTCAAGAACAACAAGTTCCGTATTAACAAGTCACGATATGATTCTATCTCTTCGTATCTGTCGCCGGAAAATGAAGCGTAAGTGCCTTGAATTAATCATATCATATAATCGTATTAATGTGCTTAGGTACATGTATACGTAGGGACGTAAACAGTTACCTTCGTTTCCCTCGAAGGTCGAAATAAACTGCAGAGCGCCACCTCGTACGATCCTTACATTAGATACTAATTTAGCTTACATCGACTTTATGGACCTGTACAGAATAAAATAGAATAGATTCCGGCGTTACTTTACGGAAATCCATGCTACACTACCAACTGGGAAAATATTTAGTTTTTATTCCGCTGAAGGAATGAATTTGCAGCACGCAGTATACAGCAAAATAAATTAATAAAAGTTCATACATAGTTTCGATCTAAGGATGTTATGACTAAGTGAAAATAGTAACTCAATAATTAAATTTACATAACATAACATCATGCATTTAATCCCCGAAGGGGTAGGCAGATCTCTGCCTACATTACGGCACTTAATGCCACTGTACAATGAAACACCCACTTTTTACTATTTTATATTATGAGTCCCATGTAATAGGGTGAGCCTATTGCCATATACCGGGCACATTTCTAGACTCCGTGCTACTACTGAGATTAAAAAAAAACCAGTAATACTTTGCCCGACCTGGGAATCGAACCCGAGACCATTTGCACGGCTGTCGCACTTGCGACCATTCGGCCAATGAGGATAATTAAATTTAATTAGTATTTATCCTTACCCTTATAGATATATGTACTAGTTTCTTTTAATTGACTGCACATCAACTAGATTATGTTGTTTCGTTAGAACAAGAGGCGGCATTGGATTATATATCGAGCAGAATATTATTTAGATTGTCATTTTCGGTACTTACTTTACTATACCAGACCGTGCTCGACCGGTGAATGACTATAAAGTCACTCCCATTATATGGTTCTTATAGCACGCTGGCGATAACTTAGTGTTATACCTACATCATATTATCGTCTTATTACAAAAGTTCGACTTAGTACTGGTTTAAACCCGGACTATAAGATCTAGGTTTGTTACGGTATTAAAGCTAGTATCAGGACTAAAATTTATTCCAATTATAAAACTAAGACTATTCGGGGATCAGCTAGTACCAAAGAAAGTCCATAGTCCCACAGATAAAAAACATAAATAGCATTCTTTCATTCGTTCACTCAGGACCCACTTGAGGCAAAGTTCCGTTCGTCTAAATATTGTTATTACAATAACGGCTGAAATGCTTAAATAATTATGTATCAACACAAAATTATATCATAAATTGTTTTTTGTTTGTGATACAATATAGTGAACAAGCACAACTTGTATTTTGACGAGCTTTTTATAACCAAGTTGTCATATTTTTTAACACCTCTAGCGTGAAATGGAGCGACTTATAAGAAGGCGGCAGAGCTCGAATCACGAAACAAATATTGAGTCTTTTTTATTATATAAATATTATTGTTTATTGTGACTGACTGGAAATGGAACAACAACTGTACTTATATCGAAAGTCTTCGTCACTCAAGTCAAAGGGATTTACACGATGGCGATGTCTGTACGATCGCCGAGACGTCTCTAACATGTCCAAATCTTCCAAATCTTTTAAATCCATAACATCAGTCGGTTCAATATCCATTTTACAATTATAATAATATAGAATATACACGTAAATATTTTTGATAGCTAACCTCAAATAACTTTAGTACCGAAGTAGGGGTCTCGGCGGTTTAACTTTAGTACCATAGATAGTTCCGGAACTAGTGATAAATTTTGTTTTATAATAACGTTTTATTAGTCATGGTTTAAACCTAGTATTAATCCTGGTACTAAAAATAGATCGGGTTTTGTAATAAGACGGATTATGTGCACCTTTTCCCAACTGTTCGGTATTAATAGGCGAGATATTACGTGTGTTATATCAACTATCACCATACAGTTTATACAGTTGAATAACTAAGTAAAAATAATATTGATGTTAGGTACCAGCGTACCTGTTTTACTAGTCTAATAATTCTTCGGTATGTACATTTATCGTCGCCAGTAGGCAATTGAAATAGCTATTTATTTAAGTAGTCGTGTGGATAAGCAGATGATTCACTGGTATACTTTCTACTGTTAACGTGACACATTGGAAACGTGATAGTTAAATATCAAAAATTGGTTGTCAAAAACAGTAATTAAGCCACACTAAACTTTATAACAAAGCGCCTAAGTTGATTTTTTAAAGTATTTAGGAAGTAGTAGTCTACTTTCGAGTGAAACATTAGATACATTAGTTTCTCTATACCCGTTTAGAATTTACAAACACAATAATTCTTCATGTAATTTATAAATTATTTTTCTGGGTCTGATACCCGATTGGCCTGAGTGTGATAAGTACCTAAATAGTTAAAAACGTGGTTTTAAGTCTTTCGATACAGAATCTCTTCAGAGTCTCCGTCTTCTAAAAATGGTAATGATTTGTACTTAAAGTAATTGTGTATATTGATTAGGTACAATGACATCGCGATAGTGCACGACAAGGACTTGTACCGCCGCCTGCGTGAAGGCGGCATCGACCATCCTCTGGCACTGCACGTCGCGCACCTATTCATCAGGGACACCGTCTCACTGTTCTCCGAGAAAGTTAACCAAGATGACAACAACGATACTGATCACTTTGAGGTAAGCCATCCTTCTGTAGGCAAAGAAGATATGTAATTTTGACAGTTAAGAGTACCTTCATGTGATGGAGTCTGTCCTTAACATAATATTTCTAAAACTTCTAGGATGTTGTTACAAAAAAAAAACAAGTTTAGTAAAAGTTCGTTTTATGTACAGAACATCCAGTCGACGAACTGGCAGACGATGCGGTTCAAGCCGCCGCCCCCGAACTCCCCGATCGGTTGGCGCGTGGAATTCCGGCCGTGTGAAGCCCAGCTCACTGACTTCGAGAACGCAGCCTACGTCTGCTTCGTCGTGTTACTCACCAGGGTCATACTCTCCTACCGACTCAACTTTGTCATGCCTATCAGCAAGGTACGTCATAACATAACCTATAATTATATACAAAATCAATATGTACTACTACTACTACTACTTATATATATTTGCCTTATGTATAATTAAGAATAAGAATAAGAATAATTTATTTGTATGCACTCCACTTACAATGTTTTTTTTTTTAATTGCTATATTAAAGTTAAATTATGCTTGACTATTAACTAGATAATAATAATACATTATTTTGCTTAAAACTATGGACAGAAATTTGTATTATCACCTACTTAAATAAAATTTAAAAATTATTTAAGTAGGTGATAATACAAACCTGTTTAATTTAACTTTTTATATAAAAATTTAACAAAAAAAAAAAATATTATCACCTACTTAAATAAAATTTGAAAATTATAAAACAAATTAATCTTTGTATGTGACCTACTTAAAGTAATTGACCTTAAAGACTAATTAACTACGTCAGTACATCTAAAAGTTTTTCTGTGTCATTATAATTTAATTTCAGCAAGTACTCCGTTATTATGTTACATCATTTCTTATGACTAAGGCTGTATACATTACAAGATTTATTTATCTTATTGTACAAAAACGGTCCGAGAAACATATAAAATCTAGTGCATTAGGCATGTTTAGTTTGTCTAGTTTGGCAGACCAGATTATTCCTTTTCTTTACCATAATTTCACGGTCATAGGTGAGATCCGAATGTTGAAAAAGAACGATGTTTAATATACTTAATTGCCGTACTGTAAGAACCTTACAGGCCTTGTAAAGTTCTTGAGTAGAAAATCTAAAAGGGCGAAATGTCGCAACCTTGAGGATGGCCCTCTGAGCACGTTCTAGTGGAAGCATTATTGTTTTAGCGGCACCTCCCCATGATGTTATGCAATATGTTAGTATTGATTGGCACAAAGCTAAATAGACTTGTTTAATTAATACATAGTCAGCTATATTGCGTAAATTTTTAAATACGTACTCTTGTGCATAATAAATCTATATGTTTGCGAAAATTTAAATTTGCGTCAATTGGATAAATAAAGGTGAAAACGATGGATAAACTTAGAGGTATGAACACAGGACACAGAATATGAACTGTATACGCTACCTTACAATCTATACAAACTTTTTATACTTATTTATGCTCCAAAATATTCAGGTGGATGAGAACATGCAACGCGCACAAAGACGGAACGCGTGTCTGAGCGAGAAGTTTTGGTGGCGCCGCGACGTGGGCGCCCCCACTGATCTCGCAAAGCAAACGCGGGACCCCTCGGAACTGTACGCTGAGATGACTATCGACGAAATTGTTAATGGAAAGGTAAGACACAGCTCCCCATCAACTAACCTATTTCCATGATTAAGCAACACTTTATGTTAATATTTTTGTATTTAACAACCTACAACAAAAATACTTAAGACAAAAAGTTTCGTAAAGTCTAGTTTCATTCAGTCGTAGAAAAGTCTCGAAACAATTTGTATCGTTTCAACTCGTTTGTCAACCTATTGTAAAAATATTTTTAAAATGCGTCAAACATTAACTTTGGGTATTTCCTATAATAGGTTTTAAATAATTGCTTTACATTTCATTCATCAGGAATGTTCTGATGATTCAATTTGCAAGAAAGACTAAATGCATTTTCCTTCCTATATTTATTTGTTTGTCTTAGTTGACATAACGTGAGAGACCAGGAAAAGTGTTTAATTGGGTTATACTCATAGGGTTTTCAATTAGTATCAATAAGTCACAGCAGGAAGTTGATGACGCCGTGTTAGGTAGATAAAGAACTGTTTGAGAATTAATTTACTAATGAATTTTTTTTGACTTGATTTTAACTTTACACTTGATTTTTAAGTTAAAGTTTAAACTTGATATTGGATGTAACTATGGAATACATTAATTAAGCGTTGATGGGAAAAATATGAAAGGCGTACTACAAGTTCACGCTTATATTCCCCTGCAATCAACGTGAAGATAACGTGATTAACAGTTGAGATGAAATATACGATATAGCTGAGTATGATTGGTATCTTAGCTAGAATCGTTCATCAATTAAAAGAAATGTGATCACAGAAAAGGACTTTAAATTAGGTATTTTTTGTGCTAAAGTGTACATTTATCTCTTTAAAATTCTATGGAACTAAGTAGGAAGTTCCCTCTGAATCAAATGTACCATACTAATTTGTTGTCAAACCGGAAAGGAAAAAATGCACCGACAAGTTTTTCTTTTTAATTAATTTAGTAAGAAAACTGGAAACCTTCAGAAATGAATTATTTCCAGGATGGCATATTCCCTGGTCTGATACCTCTGATCGAGTCGTACCTGTCTGGCATGGATGTGGACGCGGACACGCACTGCTCCGTGCAACAGTACCTCAAGCTCATACAGCGACGCTCCTCCGGCGAGATCTCCACTATGGCCACCTGGATGAGGAACTTTGTCACCACGCACCCACAGTACATGTAAGTCATTGTAATGCTGTCTGATGATAGGACCCCATAGCGCAATTTTTGTTGTCATTTGTGCATTTTAATCTACCCAACATGCTAAATTTTACAATATAACAATTCTTAATTCTAATTTTTAATGTTACAGGAAAGATTCAGTAGTCACCGAAAAAATAAACTACGACCTACTGAAGACTGCTCACGGTATTCAGACGGGCACACTCGCCGCACCCACTCTTTTGGGTAGCAGTACCGTGTCCAAGACTAACGAAGACATTCCCAAGGCATTCAGTAAGATGATGAGCAAGGAGTGTCCCTAACCGTGGCCCAGCGCCGCAGACATCGTGCCTTCCGTGCGCTGCACTTCTAACTACTTGTTATACAACGACATCTATACACCTATCTACCGCACGCGACATCTCCAACTGACTATGCCCCATCTTCCTCAGTAGTCAGATATCGAATTGTTTAAATTGCATGAAATTTAAATACAATTATTATTACATTATTCGATTCAGACCGTCAAAAGTAAAAAAAATTTTATGATTAATTCTGTTATTGTTGTCTAGTTCGCGCATTTAGACCAGTTCATAGATGTCGTTGTTGTTATTTGTAATTAGAGTTGCCTTACTTACACTGATATACTCAAACGCTACTCAATTTGAAGTCGGGCTTAAGTATAGTTCTATCACGCAAATTCTTTGTAAAATGACAGAGATGGCACGATATTTAAGTACTAGTTAAAATTGAGTAGTCTTTCAGTATTCGGGCCTTAGTTTATTGTGACGAGATTTATACAGGACGGCATCGTTAGTTTAGTCTGTTATTATATATTAATGTATTGTATTGTTCGACACAGGATAGAAGTGAAATCAAGAAAGGTCTAATTAATTAAACATTCCCCACATTTTTGTGACACCGCTGCCTCTCGCGTTTGACCACTGATATTTTGTAACTTTTATCTTGTGACGACATTTTTCGAATTAGAAGTGATAATTATTATCTTAAATATATTTACTACACACGAGTTATTTAGAATAGAAACCCCAATGTGACCTTACCTTAGATGTAACTGAAATCTCGCATTTTGTAACATTTACGGCTCTAGAACATTGCAAGTAATATGATTGTAGTTTGTGACAGAGCTAAATGTCCTAGTGATTAGAATAGGTAACAGCGGGTTAATGTGATACAAAGATAAATCCAGTTTTGTAGGATTAATATATTGTGCATTAATTTTTGAATATTTTCAATGTTCAACAAATTCTGCGTAATTTAAGTTATTTTGAACACAGCAATTACTTGGCAGGGCCACAAAGTCTTACATAAAATACTGTACTTACTTGTGTATGTTTTAGTGATACGTTAAATTTTATAAAAATAAAATGAATTTATTATATCGTTTCAAACGTAAATTTTGATTTAAATTCACTCTTTTTATTTGGAAATCGTTTTGTGTTTAGCGAATTCTTTAGATATGCTTTTATTATGTTTGTATGTTAAATAATTTTAGTTTCACACCATGGTGCTGTTATTTGCGCTTACTGGCATTTAAAGCAGTATTACCTAAACATTTCCAGGGCAGGGAATAACAATGTTTGTGTATTTGTGTATACACAGTAGAGGAAGTTGTGGGAAATGTAAATATGTACAATGGACAGATAAAGAATGGTTGTGAATGGTGAAGTTATGAAGATAGTGGTGAAGATTGTCACAATTTATATTTTATACATTTGAGCCATAGGTACCTAAAGGTAAACTGACGAAATTAGATCTTATATTATTATTGACTTTTATCTCATCAGACTCAGTGAATTAAAAGTTGAAACAGTCAAACTTCAGTGGAACCCTTTAGTAAAACGAGTGATCTTAGCTTGATAAAGCCGTTGACTAACCTGTTTCACACATTTTTGAGTTGATTTAAGTTACTTAACAGGTAACCAATGACCCATTAATTGAGTTTTGACAGAATTGCATGAGTCTGTATTACGTGTTAAATAAAATGCTGATGTAATGTAATGGGGGAAAATGACATTGTGAGATAAAATCAAATATTGTTAAAAAAATACCAAGCAGTTTCAATTAAAGACCAGTTTAGCAGTCGAATTATAATGTCAATGTACTGGTTGTCAAGTTGAGAAACTTTTACAACCCGTAACTTTTACTTTAAAATATGAATTGCTGGGTATAAGATGGTCATTAAGTTGTATGTATGTATTATGAAATTCTATTGTGGGTATAATGGGCACTTAGAATTAAAGTTCTTTACTATACCAGGGCTTAGAAAATATATCTATCTATGGAAACAATCCTTGTTTACAGTCAGCACAAAATTGCTTTTCTATTTGTTATTAAAGTTTTATATTTCTAAATTACGCAATATATTTTAAAAATTAAAAAGTGCGTATTATTTCTCATAGATACAGAATTGTTTTGTATGTAGTTGATATTTTATATTGTTCACTGTTAGTGAAGTTTTTTAATTATTATATTATGATTAAATATGCATTCAATAAAACTATTTAATTGTTGAATATATTTTTCATTTCCTTAACGACGACCCTACTTCACGATTTCAATAGGTCACCATCGCATGGCTTCGTGACCAGTCGCCTCATCTATAAAAATATTCCACTGTTGTTTACAGGGCAACTCGCATGGTCATCCGCACGAAATTATCCACCAGTAGCGCAACCCATAATTTAGTTTCAAACAAGCTATTTAGCATCCCACTCATTCTGCCATCAGATACACTGCCAGAAATATCCTTCATTCAGAATCGTATTATCCCTAACGCAAATTAGGCAAGTGCCAAAGAGTATAATAAGTATGCAAGTGCCTAGGGTCACAGAAGGGAGCCACGAGACAAGCGTGACAAAGAAAGCTAAGTCTATGAGGTGCTTGCCTAGGGCGCTCTTTAGCTTTTATCCGCCTCTACCTTAGTTCCCGTTGAAATCAAGGTGGTGTGGAATCTACGATGTCATTTTACTAACCGAACCTCTTTGAATTTCAGAAATTTTATAAATGGGTACACTTCACCAAAGGTCATTCCTGCACCCTATCCATCAATTGTGTAATATACTATCTCCGGGAGTACATTTTATATATCGAATATCGGGTTGAAAATTTTGTTGTTAAGTAGGCCTTTAGTTTTTGAGACATTTAAAAAAAGGAAATGTGTTTATTGATTTCTAGGACAGAATGGTGTTGATACACCTTAGTGCACACTGATGCAGGCCCCTATGCCTATAAACACCTGGTATAAATGAAATAGGGGTCCCGAAGGGTTACGTACTCGGATTATTGGGTATTTTGAAAGGCTCTCAAATGAAATAAGTTAATTACAACGGAAATAATACAATATATTATTTAGAATTTGTCTACAAGTTGCAATATGTGTTGTTGTTCCTGTTGGCGCCACTCCTCGCTGCCGGCGTCGCCGAGGTTGCCCGCGTATTCTGAAACATTGTATATTACATTGTATTTCTTTAATTAGGAAAGTCACTTTGCCGCGGTGTTGAGTAGGAGACCAGTAGATCAACCTATATCTGTCAATGTATTAATTGCTTTTTGGACTTAATGTCAAAAGTATTAAGTTAAAGATCTAATAGAATTTGACAAAGAGAAACTGCTAGCCACTATAACTTACACAATTTTTTATAAGCCTATATTTATTTATTTTCAACCGACTTCAAAAAAAGGAGGTGGTTCTCAATTCGACTGTATTTTTATTTATGATTGTTACTCGATTACTCGCAGACGCCTGGACCGACTTCAAAAATTCATTTTTTGTTTGAAAGGGCTAGGTTTGTCATTTGGTCCCATTGTCATGAAGTCAGGATCTGATGATGGAATCCCAGGGAAACCGAGGGGAACTTTTAAAAATTATAGGGGCGACTAGTGCATTTGTTAATTTTTTCGTTAAGTATTTAAAACCATTACAATCTGATAACGGTCTGGAGCTGATCTGATGATGGAGTCGATACGCAGTCGAGGGAACTCCTCAACGGTTAACAGTAGCTACATTGTGTTTGGGTTTGATTATTTTGTATTGATGAAAACTTTGCACCGATGTGGATTGTACATAATATAATATATTCTAGTACTAAACTAAAAAGTATAAAATAAAAATAAAAAACTACGTTTAAAAAAACCGACTTCAAAAACAAAACAAACGAAAAGTAAAAACTAAATTATGTACTAAAAAGCACCGACTTCTCACCTATCAGTGGGTGTGTAAGCTATATGTAAGTATGTATGACCAATAATAGTTATTTTTAGCTTTTTAGTTTTTACTTTTCGTTTGTTTTGTTTTTGAAGTCGGTTTTTTTTACTTACCTCTCATGACGTGTCGGATAATCTTGAGCGAGCCTCCACGTAGGGACAGTACACGTTGTACACGTTGCTTAATGGCGGCCGGTCCCGCAGTACAAACCTGCACACATTGACATTAAATAATAATTTATATTCTCTGATATGACTATATAGCTATTGAATCGAAACTATTATAAATTATTAACTGCCGACAAAAAACTGCAAACTCTCGAACTCCCGATAACTTCCGCAAATGATGATTATAACAGTAGTTGATGATGGTTAAAGTAGGTATCAATATTAAATTCCCAATATAAATTAATGACAATTAATTGTACCTAATACATAATCAAGATTCCGTACCTCCAAAATAATTCTGTCAATGAGTTGTAAAGTGAAGAGTCCATTAGAGAGCCGCATTAGGTACTGCGCATCATCGTTCAGGTCTTCTTGCTCTTGCTGAAATATCAATAGAGGTAGATAGAAGTTTGAGAAAAATGTTTGTTTAATCAGTCCCAGGTTTGGTTTAATGGCACTTGTATATCAATTTGATATATGAAAGGCTGCTATTAAAGCCTGGGCCCTTCAGAGCTTATGAGGAGTGACGTTAGATTTTATACATACGTAGGAATAGTTATAGTACTCTAAAGAACTTAAATATGAGTCACCTCCATCTCCTTTTCTGTTCGGTCAACTTTGTCCATATATTTAAAATGTAACTCTAGTAGTCTGTCCACCTTCTCCAGGTCATTTTCCGTAAACTTCGCAAGCAGACGCTGTCTTTGACTACCTTGGCAATTACGCAACATCGATGCTATTATAGACACAACATGTTCTGGAAAAAAACAAAAACGTATTTGAAAATAAATCTTATGCATTTGGAATAAGAATGAGTTAGACTATTTGTAAACTAGCCTTCATGTTCATCAACTGTTAGTATCCTTTTCCGTTTCGGTGTTTTCATAAAAAGCGGGAACACGGTACGAAGGCCTAATATGTCTACGAACTTATTGCAATTATCGCGACCTTCTGGGCCAGCAAGGGCGTAATCGAGCACTTTAAGTGACCCATTCCGAGACATCTTTTTTTCTCTGAAAGATAAAAACAGTTAATTCCTTAGTAAAATTATACACATTCTTTTTAACTGCCTCCCAGACAAATACAGAAATTAGCATACTACGTTTTTTTGTAAATTTATACCTGAGCATGAGGTTCATAAGCTGCAGCCCTTCACCTCGTAGGAAGCGGTCTCGGTTGGATGGCTCCGTAAGCGCGCAACATAACGAGTTGAACATGTTCTCCATCGCCTCTTGTTCCTCTGCGCCAGCAGGGTCGTTACGTTTATAGAACTAGAAAAATATAATTATAACTAAATTTATGCTTTATTCACATATGGTTAAAGTACTTTTTACTTTTCATATTATGTAGTATGTGCTAGCTTACCGCCAACTGCTGCAATAGAACATCAATGCCATCGAGTTCTCCCAACAGCTTCCTATTCTCGGGTGTGTTTTGTAGAAGGATTGATAGAATTTCTGTTGCATACAATTTGTTGGCGTCAAAAGGCACTTTCAACTGAAAAATTAATTAAAACAAACATTAACCTTTCTGTCTGCCTCTATAGGAGACATTTAAAACATTGTGTCTAATGTAGATATGTGCTCTATGATAGATACCATGGTTTAATAGAAAGTTAAGAGATTTATAATTTAACTCATAACAAAACTACAAATCATACTTATGCTTACCTTCAGTCTTTTAAGTATCCACTGCAAGAAACCCTGTTTAGCCACTTCTGCACACATTTCAGTTCTGAATTCAATCAGATTTTCTATGATACCTAAAATTCAAAATACACAATTATTCATTATCACAAAAATAATTAGTATCACATGACAGTTAGAACTCGAAACACAATAATAGTTTACCTAGTGTATCATGTACCGCATCTCTTTCATCTGGCACTTGTTCATCGAGGCGCGATAGATTGTGTAACAAAAGTGATGGTGCCTCTGCTTCAGTCAACGCATTCATCAGAGCCTCCGCACCCTCCTCGCTTTCTTGGAGAATGTCATCATCTGTCAGTTCCTACAAAATGCATTTAGTTTTATATGTAGTTATTTGAGAAATAACAAAAGTGTTTTAATGATGAATAAATACTATTTGTTATTCCAAAATATGATAGATTATGCCAAAGGGATGCATAGTCTCCATACGCAAATTTGCCTAGCCATTACAATATTAATACATTACTTGCCTGCAATAAATGCACCACTTTAGTTGACACATCCGTGTTGTCATGTGATAGTAGCTCCAACAATGAGTTGATGCACTTCAGGTCCACCAGCAAGGGATACTGGTCAGGCACAGTTGCTACTGCACTCAGTTCCTAAAATAACAAACATATTTATGGACCCATAACATCACGCCTTTTATCCCCGAAGGGGTAGGCAGAGGTGCACATTATGCCACTGTACAATGTAGCACCCACTTTTCACTATTTATGTTATGAGTCTCATGTAATAGGGGGTGAGTCTCATGTAATAGGTGGTGAGCCTATTGCCATATACCGGGCACAATTCCAGACACCGTGCTACTACCGAGAAATTTTTTAAAAACCAGTAATACTTTGCCCGAACCTGGAATCGAACCGAGACCCCTTGCACTGCAGTTGCACTTGTGACCACTCGGCCAATGAGGCAGTCTATGGACTTGTATGTAATTATTTACAATCAATTACTTTTCAACTACTTTTGACAAGAGTTTTTATCAAAACTATAATTGGCAACAAGTAAAAGCCAGTAGAACATTAAAACTAGAATAATAATATTATTATACCTAAACATACATTTACATTTATTGTGTACTAGCTTTTATACGCGGCTTCGCTTGCGTCACATAAGGATAAAAGTAGCCTATGTGACATATACACACAGCGCCATCTATACCAATACTTTTGTTTTCCCTTGGGAATATCAAATTTTTCCAGGATAAAAAGTACCCTATTATTTAATCCGGACTTATAACTTTACGTCTGCAAAAATTCAAAGCAATGGGTTTAGTAGTTACGACATGAAAGCGGAACAAACAAACAAACTCACTTTTCAACTTATAATATTATAGTAAGGATTTTCATGTGCTATAGTGTAACAATGAGGTTTCTATGGAAATAGCTCCGACTATACCTGTAGTGCTTCATATAGATCTATTTCACTGTCCATAAACTTCTCTGGTTGATCTGGAAACTTAATTCTCATTTCTCTGTTCCTCAATGTTTTCTTTTCAAAATTCAAAACTAGTTTCTTAACTGCGGTTTCATCTAGAACATCACCCTGAAAGTGGAAAAGATAATTAATATGTAGTAATATTACACTATAATTTTAAATAATAGACCAGTCTGCAGTACTAACCTCTGTTGTTTCATTTTCGACAAATCTCAATATGTCTTCTCTTTCCTCATCAGTGATGGTTGGCTCTTTTGGTAAGTTTTTGCTAAGTGGTAGCCGTACATTATCTGATTTACTTCGCGCCATACGACGCATTTTTGAAGCCTTTGGGCCTTCATCGTCAGAGTCCCCACTGTCTTCTTCATTTGGCCTTTTAGGTGTTGGTGTGGGCTAATTGCAGATAAATAAAGATTAGTAAGCTAATTAGAACGTTGTTTAGTCCTATAATCAAACTTCACATAGTAATTAGTAAGTTTTCTTGAGCAAAGACATACCTTAAATGAAAGTAGTTCTCCAACATCCATAATGGAGGTTACTTATTAGGTTAAGGTTATATATTCGTACTTATTTATAAGTCGAACATAAAAATAATCAATTAAACTGCCTGTTTTTTCACAAACTTGATAAAGTTACTGTAAAAATGTGAGATGTTTGGTTTGGTTTAGCTGTTCAACTATTTGACATAACAATCACAATTCACAGTCACACTGACACTTTCGACCATTCGACAGTGAACAAACATGAATGACATCTGAATTAAGCGATCCATAAATCATCCGATGTTTCATCCTACACAAACAATTGGCATTAGCAGAATATTACAATCAAAACTGTTTTTCAACCAACTTGAAGCTTAGAATCAAAATGTGCAAAAATTAATCATTTTATTAGTTCAGTAATAAAAATACTTTTAGGCGTGAGTCACCACGTAAAAATCGACTAAAATTATTCACAAGTCACACCTAACTCTAGAGATTAGAAAAAAAAATGCCTCGTGGTGGCGCGAAATTGAAAAATGAAATAGACAAACTTATGCACAGTTAGTACCGGTTGTTAGGTACAATATTTTTTAATTGTTTTACATCATTTGTTTTAATTATTGGTTTGCTTTATATTATTAACTAATGGACGTCATTAGGAAACAGGATGCCGCAATTAAGGTGAGTCTTTTAGTTTAACCGTAAGTAATCAGTTCGAAATTAGCAGAATTAAATAATAAGAATGCTTTATGGAGTTTAATTTAAACAATAATATTATTTACAGGATATAATAACTTCAATGAAAAATGGAGAGCCAGTAAAATTAATGAAACTGCTGGAAATATTTAATACTAATGCAGAAACCGATGTGCAAGTTAAATTATTCTCAATTTTATCTGGCTACCTAATGTTAAATGTAATTCTAATTATGTCGATAACTAATAAAACGCATATAATAAATGCGTCTAAAATCTAAATAAATTAAGGAAAAGTTATAAGTGCGGAAATATTTTATTTTAAATATTTTTATTTGTATTTTTACAGGATAATAGTATAGAGACTATTGCAACATGTAGTCCATTATATGACAAACTGTATAAAATCCTAGTAAATTGCCCTCCTAGGAAAGCTACAGTTGCGTTTAATTTTCTTTCGGCCCTTTTATACGAGGACTTGGCAGATAACCAAAAACGAAACAGTATAGTGGTATATGCAAGAAATTTAATAAGAAGTAGTGGTTGTTTGGCAGCTATTTGTGATCTATTTACTAGCTGTATGATGGTAAGTGAGACAGATACGCTTCTACATTTTGTTAAGTGGGTAAGTCCTATAGATGAATAAAATGTGAGACTAATGTTACACACCTAATTGATTTTTGGTAAGAGTATATACTTCCCAAAAATCAATGATGATTTTGATTTGATATTGATTGAATTGATTTGATTTGAGGTGTGTACGTAACATAAAAACTTCCTTGGTTTATTAGCTACCCAAAAATATTAAATTATTAATAAAAGTGGAAAGGAAAACGGGCAATTTCAAAAACATCATTATTTTCAAATATGGTTCAAAGTGACCTTCCATAAAATGAATGCATGCTTGCACACGCTTCCTTGTCTCTGTGGCGGTCACTCTTGAACTGAATGAGATGTCTTATTTCTTCAGCCGCTTCAATTGTAAATTGAAGAATTGAACTTCAATTATAATATGATTCTTAGCCGAATTATGGACGTATGAGACCAATTCGACCAGGATTATATCAAACTATCACAATATCCATTATTACTCCCAAAAAGGCAATGAAATCCAAGAAAAGTAATAATCAACAGGTTCACTATGACGGTCCATTTACTTGTATGAGTGTCATTAATAATTACTTGATTGGACCCAACTCTTTGTCCAATAATAAAAATGGTGGTAATTATGAGGATTTTTAAAGAATGAGCTAGGGTCATTGCTAGAAAATGTAGATTTAGAAACAAGGAGACAAATGATATTCCAACACGATAGTTGGCCAGCGCACTAGGTATCAAATTACTGTGCGGCAACGGCTGGATACCTCGTTTCTAAGGCGTTGGTTTGGCAAGGAGGTCCAATTCTATGGTCCAAATCTGATACTAATTTACTTGCTATTTTAAAACGAATCATATTTCTGCCAGTATTAGTATTAATCAATGTTTATTGGTGTATTGACAACAAAAAATGGGAAAGCCATGTTTCGGCACGAATGGGTCGGCTCGACTGGAGTGATACCACGGCCTTACAGAAAACCGACGTGAAGCAACGCTTGCGTTGTGTTTCGTCGTGTGAGTGAGGTTACCAGAAGCCCAATTACTCTCCCCTTCCCCAATCTCCCCAATTCATGAATCCTCAATGTTCCTCAAACTCCTAATCCCCGAAAGGCCGGTAACGCACTTGTAACGCCTCTGGTGTTCCAGGTGTCCATGGGCGACGCCGCTTGATTACCATCAGGTGATCGGTCTGCTCGTATACCGGCTTATGCCATAATAAAAATCAAAACTAAAATAACTTAAATCAAACCAGTAGTTTTTTATTTATTGATGTTCTTGTAGTTCGATCGAAAACCGAAAATGTTGAATACCTCAGATACTAGCCACTTTCGGACCAGAGACATCAGGGCTAATTTTGTAGGAAATTAGTTGTATTATCACCTCCCGAGAGGAATACGTCGAGTTACTAAGTCACCCTGTATAAAAAGTGAAGCCGAAAACACACCACCACATCATCAAGGCTACGGCCTCTGCCGCCGCCGTCAATAAGTGAAAACAGCGAAGGTGATGAAGAATTAATTAAATCATTGCCTCTTAGTTTACCGGTGCCTCCGTAAACGCTAGTTTTTCAAGGCTTAAAATTATTAAAACATATTGAAAGAATTCAATGACACAAGATCGGCTTTCAGCCCTTGCTATTCTTTCAATCGAAAATGACGTTGCTCATTCGTTAGATTACTGTGCGTTATTTGAAGATTTAATAAGTCTTTTGATTTAATTTACTTTTGTGATTATTTTAATATAAAATATTTTAAAATTAAAATTTCATTAATTTGTATAACTTTAGCATTCCTTCTCAAACTTGACATTTACCTGAATCAAACAACTAGACTTACTTTCGCAACACATACTTTAACGAAGGACAAAGGGCCTCGCATGGGTAAGGCCGCCGCTGCTGATCGGTGCCTATTGATCGTAGCGTGGTGTATGCATATACATGTGATATATTGTGTATGTAAATGGGCTAGCCAACACAAAAAGAATTTTTCAAATCGCACCAGTAGTTCCCGAGATGAGCGCGTTCAAACAAACTCTTCACATTTATATATCATATATACCTATGTATAATAATTTAGTATAAGATTTACTGTATATGATCAAGATGTGGTCGCATGCATACTGTTTCAGGATCAGGAAGCGTGGCGTGCTCTTTGTCGATGTCTCGCTGAATCGTGCCGTGGCACTGAAGCCAATCAAAGTTATTGCACGCATCTCGTTCCAATAGTACGTACTTACCCATAACTTTGGAACATCATTTCTATAATATCCTACCTCTCTACGAATACGATTATCAGCTACTTATCACAACGTAACGTAGTATAAATATAGTTTTCCTTCTTTACTACCGTTTCAGTGTATTCAAAGATGCAACCATAGAAATATCGAGTTGCTCATGGTTTTGCAAAGTTTGCTACAAAATCATAGTCGTAATATAGCGCTGTTTGTGGAATGTAACGGCATGGCACTGTTTCAAAGGTGGGTATGAGAGTAATAAGATGTCTTTATAATACAATCGAATATTTTATTATTAATGTAACAAAAATTTGCTATAGGGAGTTCTTGCAACATGATATCTGCCTACAACTGCTAGCTACCATAGTACAGAGCTCAACTGTGGCTGCCAAACTTATCGTTAACACAGATATTGGTCAACAACTTCGAAGTTTTCTGCAACGGTATGGACCACCCTCACAGGTACCTACTGCAATACTAGTACATACTGTAATACTTTAACATTCAGCATTTCAGGCATTGTCTAATTGCTTCATATTTTTCAGTTGGGCCAATGGTCCACCATCATTTTGTATCATATATCCAGAGTTGAAGGTAAAAAATACACCTACTATAATTTTAATTGGGCAATATAAGATTATAAGTTTCTTACCAAACAAAAAATACATCTTACCAATTTCAGCTTCCTTAATAACTAAGAAAATGGATACAGATAATAAAGAAAACAATAAATATAGTGAATCATTTCTTAAAAAAGTTTCACAAAACAGAAAGATAGATTGCAGTGACGACACAACTATTTTTTTCCGCAATGTTATGAAAGAAATAATGCTATGTGGTACTCAGAAAGAAATTAACTATAAACCTTTTGTTTCTACCAATGTAATAATAAATAGTCCAGGTAATGCCATGGATACCTCAAGAGCTCCATTTTGTGAAAATAGCAAAAAACAAAAAAAATTTTGTATGGGTCCCCCTGAGACCATTAAATTCTATGCCCAACATAAACTACCCGCAATGTCAAGTGCACATTTACAAGAATTATCTTTATCTTTTCTTCGTAATCAACATTCAAGTAAAAGTGGCACCGCAACGTTTGTGACATCTAATAAATTTCTGGAAACTACTCAAAAAACATTACAGACAAACGCAAACATTGTACAGCGTACAGATTCATTTATGGAAGACACCTTAATTCGTTCTTGTACCCAAGAAATCGATGACTTCAAACCACAATTCATGTCTACTCCCAAAAAAGATCTCCAGGAAGCCTCTCAGTACCAAAAACCACATGATAATAGTTCATTTAGGTCAACACGAAAGCTTGTCAAAAACCATCAGATAAAGCGACAGGTTAAGAAGAGAGTAACCAGGTATTTTAATCAAAGCAAAACTAATAAAGAAATTAAACACAAATCTTTTAGTGGGCGATTCTTTGACGCTATCAATACTTCTTGCACTACATTGGTAAAAACTGTAAAAAACATTTTTAGACCGAAAAATACTTTGCTAGAAACAAAAGATAATCCTTTAAATAGAACAAATCGAGACATGTCCTGTAGTTACAGTTTCACAAATTATATGCGTAAAAGAGATGCAGTTATAAAAGACAATTATAAAGAAGATACTAATAAGGGCTTAGTTAACACAAAAGACAATATCCAAGATGTTAGTATGGAGATAAACAATTCTTGTAAGACATGCAATGATACAGTTACGCTCAAACGAAAATTAAGAAATGATGACCACTTGAAGAAAACTCTAAGAAAACTCAAACTAGGAATTAATTTGTATGGATGTGATTTTAAGGTAATAAAATTTTTAGGTATGTGAAATATACGTAATTAAAAAATTCTAATACATATTTTTTATTTCAGAAAATTTCTCGTGCAATGTGGCCAAAAGAAACGTACATGACACCACTTGTCTTATACAACCTATACCGTAAATTAATTTTGAAATAAAGGTCTTTCTTATCTTATGATTTCAATGCTTTTTATTTGAAGAACCCTTTTAAATAGTTAAGTACGAACATTTTAAAATACCATAATGAGTGACGTACTTCTAAACAAGTTTTTTCTTGACATTAAAACAAGATAATTATTCATGGTCATTATATTATCTTATTTAAAATAAACAACATATTTTGAAGATAACGCTATGTGATCACGCGCTCCCATTTGATCTCATAGTTTACTATAGGTCGACTCATGGCGAACCATATCTTTGGTAATATCAGCAATAGTTGGAGTGCCTGCAAAAATAAAAATGACGACATTAATACTAGAATGAGTTTAGTGAATTAAGTAAATTGTTACGGTTAAAATAATTAAAACATGATAAGGGAGAAGATTTCACAAAATACAAATATGAGTAGAATGGAGCCAATAGTCAAACTCTGTCCTTTACTTTTTCTTTTTTAAGTTAAGGAAGATATGAAAATATATAGGTACCTGCTATTTGAAGTGTGTACTGCAACTCTGTTCGGAATATATTGAGCATTCTTTGGACACCAGCTTGCCCACCAACTGTCAGTCCCCAAAGAGCAGGACGACCGACGAAAACCTGTGGACAAAAACATTTAAGTGTATTTTATATGACTTTAAAATTCAACTTTAATTTCGCCGTGATAGAATACATTTATAAATTTATAACAAAGTGACGTAATATCTTAATTTACTTAAGACCAGATTAAAACTCACCATTCTAGCACCTAGAGCCAAGGCTTTGTACACATCAGTTCCTGTAGTCACTCCGCCATCCAAATAAACTTCAACATTGTACTTTTTTACGGCTTCCACAATTTCGGGCAATGCTTCAATCTGAAATATTATATTATATCAATAAGTATAGTGTTTACATATTTCGAAATGTACACAGTATTTTGTATTTTATTTGTTATTGTTATTACCGTGGTAGGAACACCGTCCAGTTGCCTTGCTCCATGGTTTGATACTAATATTGCGGAACAACCAGCTTCAATTGCTTTGACTGCATCGTCCCCGCGTAAAATGCCCTTCGCAATTATCGGTAGTTTTGTAATGCTATGAATTAAAACACATTTATTTCAGTTGCCACCTTGTACATGTACATACTATATTGTACTTGTGTTTGTGTAATGGTTCTAACAGACGTCAGAAAAAGGGGTTATAGTCGGTTGTAAGAGACGTAGTTTATTTAAGTTAATTCATTTGTGTATGAAATTATGATACTATACATAACGGGTTATGTAAGAGTATAGGTACTAAATAAACTGATTTACCTTTTCAACCATTTAACTTCTTCCCATGTCAAAGATTTATCGAATAAGTTCTCAACGTAATTATTGAGTCCACTGCCACTTCCAGTGCTGCGAATCTTAGTTGACAACATACCATCAAAGTTTGCGAGTCTGTAAAAAATATTTTCATTTATTTATGACTCGCGAGCGGTTACATCTCCTGCTAGGCTCTTATTGCTTTCTCAATAAATGGGCTGCCCAAAAAAGATAAAATACGAACCGTTCATTTTCGGAGATTAGCGTGTTCAACTAAACTAAACCAGTCTTGAAGTTCAACTTTTAAACATAAATCAACATATTAGAGATCTTACCTCAAATGAGGAGGCAAAGTGAATTTATTCCGCACGTCGGCGCGTCTTATCCCGAACAATGGAGTATCAACTGTTAGGACTATTGCTTTAAACCCTGCCTTCTCTGCTCTTAGGACTAGATTTCTGGTTACTTCTCTGAAAGCAGACACGTTAGTGAGGCTTATAGGTTGCTTCATATATTGTCATGATTATATTCAAATAAATGTAATACCTATCGTTGTAAATATACAACTGGAACCATTTTATAGCATCAGGCGCAGCCTCCGCCACTTCTTCGATAGAACTTGTGGCTATAGTACTGAGAGTGAATATTGTCTTCTCAGCTTGAGCAGCTAAATAAAACACATAAAACACCAATTACAAATATGAAAATAGAAAAAAAGTAATTAAGGTGAGTAATAATAGGTAGGTAGTCAGGTACCTCTTGCATTAGCTAGTTCTCCTTCGGGATGTGCCATCCGTTGCATTGCGGTCGGTGATATACCGACGGGAAGAGACACATCGTGGCCCAATACCTTAGTTCGAAGATCACACCGAGTTACCCCAATTAAGCATTTTGGTCGAATCCTCAACCTGAATAAAAAGACATTATGTACTTTGACGAACCTAATTAATTCTGCCAAAAAATAAGTTCTTAATTTTGCAACACTAGCGCTTCTTCGTTCCAGACAGACAGAAAATAAAATCAAATATCAGAGCAGAATATGATTTAATTGGATTAATAGGACCGACCGACGGAAGTATTATTATACTTATATTGTATTTGTTTATCTCTGTCTACCCCTTCTAGGAATAAGCTACAAATATGTACCTATATTCTTTTGAGAATAAATAATTCCAGCCACTTACCTTTGAAACGCTGTCCTATTCTCAGCTAAAGTTTGTTCTTCTGTTGCGCCACTTTTATAATAGTCTCGAGCAGGTTTTGGTAATATCGACAGGGCAGCATCTTCTATTTCTTTAACACTTATATATTTCTCCATAGTAAATATATCAATGTATCCAAACGCAGGAGTATATGACTTGAATATTGGTCGTGAAATGCGTGCAAATGATAACTTATCTGTTTAAGTAGTGTACGTAAGGGCACAGGTCATTACAGCTGTCATCGAACGACATGAACTCTCCCCAATTGACTTAAGATTTTAATTTAACTTACATTTCAATGAGAGAGAGAAATGTAAATAAACATTGTATTGTTGTTGTCACAGCTCAGAGATGTAATATATATCATCATTTTGCAACAATAGCGTAAATAACTAATTTTTATTTTAATGTCCGTCTGGAAGTTTATTTTAAAATATGTATTAGACACGTATTTATTTTCTTACGGAAACAAATACTATCGACGATATATTGATTTGAAATATCGCGTGACGTCACTTTTATGTACGTTTTATACATAGAAATCACATTTTAGCTCCCACTCCAGAACTTTCCCGAGCGTACGGCGCGCGCCTCAAAGAGCCATCAGACCACCACGGATGGGGCCCAATAGGGCTGATGCCGATACTTCCCCTATAGGCCTATAACGTACTTATGGCCGATATGGAGTCGTGGAGAACCTAACGGGTTAACGGGGCTCTGGCTCGAAGTGCAGGAGTAGGAACGAGGTGGTTTTTAGTCAGTAAGAATCTGACACTCCCTCCATTTTATCTAAGTATTGCTTTTTTATACAACAAAATAAAATAATACATGTCTAATATTTTTCCATTAGCTAACCGACGGACTAAATAAAATTTTAATTTTCATACCCTGTCATCATCCGTATTATTATGCAAACACTTAAAATGAATCAAAGAAACTCTCAGAAAGATTTTATGAATTTATTTCTTGATTTGAATAGTATAATATCTGTATGAACGCTTCTTGAGCATTCTTGTATAATCTTCAAATGCCATTTCGTTATATTTGCCATAGAAATGTTATACAAAACTCAACTGATCTTATAATAATTCTATGAATACACATTTTACACTGTTCTCGTGAAAACTGCAAACATTGAACTGCAGTGAAGAATCCCAACATATCTGCCCAAACTATTTGATGTGTATCGCATACAATGCTATGAACAATATGCTACATTACAAAATTTTCAATATAAAAAAATTGCATTTATTTATGTGTGTTTTCGGAACGCACTAATAGACATTTATTTTTGAGATCTTTTGCGAATTTCATGACTATAAAGAATGAAGTTCATGTTGAGTTTGACTTATTTCCGGTTGATGATATTTACAAGATTTCGAATCTCGCTTCGAGTATCATACGTCTGTTACATATGTGATTAGTTACCGGTACATAGACTCATTTGTTTCTAAACAAGAATCATAGCGGTTCACCTATCTAAGATCAATCACATTTTATCTCGTTTCAACATAATATCGTTAACTTTGCATTTTATAAAAGATACAAAACATTTCAATTATTAAGCTATTAAGAAAAGGGCCACCATTTTCCCTTCTATCTATAACTCCATCTTTGGTAATAACATTAACAACAATCAGCATTTTCTCGAGCAGGTATCTAATTATTCACAATGCTATTCTGTACTATATCAATCATTACAACTTGTGATTTGGGTGTTTCTTTCACTTATAAAACCATGATAAAGCGACTTTTTAAATTTTAAAGCCAAAATAAAATCACGACTCGACATCATTCACTTTAGCACATAAACATGCTTGGTGTTTTAGTAATCAATAAAATTTTTAATTCTATTTTATCACATTATTTAAATACTTTGTCATTTAGTTTATTCGTACATACAAATGTTTACATGCAAAATGAATGACATAAGTCTTTTAAATAAAAACTTGTTAATAGATCAATATACAGACTATCAGGTGCAAGCATTGAGCAAATAAAATTAAAAATAAGGCACACGGTCTATGCGACCATAATTTGAAGGCTCATTAATGTTTAAATTAATATGAAAAAATAAATACTCACAGAATATCGCGGTGGTTTTATATTTGTAAAATACTAGAATGCAAAGTGCAAACGTTAAAGGCTACAAGTCGTGTCTACGAAAGGGCGCACGTCCGCGAGCGCACGCGCGACTTAGCGTCTGCGTCGCCTGATAGCCTGGATGTTACAACAATTTTACCACTAGAAAAAAAGGAAAATATTATACAACCGTCGTGAAATATAAAAATAAATAACATTATATTACAAAGCAGAACATTGACATAGTGGCAACATTTTCCTGTTAGACTAGTCGTTAATACCTATATCTACACTTTTCACTGAATTAAAACTAAGTTTATTTTATTATAATAATACATCTAGCAAATTAAAAACTGAAATATTAAACATTGTTTACATAGTCAGAGTTAGGCCAATATGTGTTCTCTGGCCTCGATAATATGCATTTGTTTTACTATGTACAATAATTAATGCTACTTCACTCAT